TACAGTGGTGCTACACTGCTCCTGACTCTGAAAAGTGCTTCAGTTAGCCTCTAGCTTAAATAAGCTACATTCGTCTCATAAACAACAAATCACTACCTTCTAATGAAAACTTTTAAGACAGATGAGAATTAAATGTAGGAGCGCATTTGGCTAAACAACAGATCAGAAAACTTGAGAGTCTGAGCTCATTCCCTTTTCACTGCACAACCAATATATTTATTTTTTTTTCTGTTTTAACTTCTGTTACATCAATGGCAATTTCCATAGCTGTTGGTAGCTTTTATTGCTTGGCATAAAGGTCCTTTTCACTATGTAATAATAAACATTTATTGTTCATCTTCTGAGCTGCAAATAACTTGAAAGGTACTGCTGGTCTCACACTCCTACAAACTGGTAAGCAAATGATTGGGTGTGCTCAAATGACCATGGGAAAGGCACAACAGCTTCTGTCACAGAACCCATCAGATGACCTGTTCTTCTTGTATTTGGGTTGAGAAGTTATTAGACCTGGTAAATATGGATAAGTGCAAGGTATCATAGAATAGTTTGGGGTGGATTATTTAATTCCAATCAGCCATCAAACCTGAGCTAAGAATGTGAAGGTTCTGTTGGATAGATTAGCGTAAGTAAAATTTCAGGTTGTGTTTTACACAGCTCAAATTGTTATAAATGAAACACTTTTGATGATCTGGTTGTCCAGAATAAGGTGTAGGAGATACATATCATTTTTCTTTTTACTTTTGTTAAACGCAATGATGCCCATGGAAACCCTTTTAGGTAATGCACTCGGTGTTAGCATGGCTCTGGTATAGCAAATATCATGAAAACTATATTTGTACTGTTTGTCCCAAATTACAGGGGAATGAAGCCTTTGTCTCATGGATGCAATGTGAAAACTGTGGTAGCTCTTACTGTTATCCAATATCATCTATTTACTCGTTAATGCATTAACAACAGTAATTGTTTATGGACATGTATGTGCTATATCTTCACTATATCTTCACAAAACAAAAACAGGACTAGGTATCCAAATGCGAACAATGAACAAATATAAAAGTCCATTTCTCATTTCGGGGGGTTGAAAGAGACTTTTAGGATGAAGGAACAGAAAAAGGAATGCATATCTTAAATCTTACGATGTGGTGCACTTTTAAAAAGGTGGGTGTGGAAGGCCAGAACAGCAATCATCTATGAAGGCCAGAACAGCTGCAATCTATGCAGAAAGCCTCACTGAAACCCACATTAATTTGAAATATTGGCGTTTTTTAAACATGCAAAAATCCTGTTTTTTTCGGACAGCCTATTTATCTGGCAACTGTGTCTCTGTGGATGTGATTCACCAGCAATCATCATTAGTGAATTTGCTTTTCAGCAATACATAGGAACAAACTTTATCTAACTGGTACTTACATAATAGCTACCTCTCCAGGAAGAAAATGAACTGTCTCATCTGTCAGAAAAATCTATTAATTCCTCTGCAGATTCTTCTATCCTCTATGAAGGGCAAAAAAGCCCTATAAGGACTAGAGGACTTAGAGGAAGCTGCAGATGACCGATAAATTTTCCCTTTGCAGGGACTTCCTCTTCCTCCCCTCTCTATTTGATTTTATAACCCAGCAAACTAGATATCTTTGGCCAGACCTCAGTTTGTGATGTGACCTTGATCTTGTAGTAGAATTTCTGACAGGACTGGTAGGAAGGAGAAGGGAGATATGAAGGGGAAGGGAAGGACTTTGGGCTAGCAGTGACATGTTCATCAAGCAGTCTGTTGTCACAAAGAAAGATGCTGCCCTGGGTTGTACAGCCAAAACCCATGTGTTGTAGCTGACAGTGAAATGGAGAATGGGACACAGTATTTACCATTTTACCAGACTTCACATATATTCTAGTGTTTAACTCATTTTCATAGGAATATCTTGAGGTATGAGACTGTAATTGTAGCTTACAAGTTTTAGGGCAACAAAATACTTGATTATTAATATTAAAAACACTTCTCTGTTTATCTATGTAAAAATGGAGCTATAACAACTGCAAACAAGTTAACTTCCATGCATTGCACTAGTTTTCAGTGTTTCTTATATAATATTAAATAAAATGTAGGAGCTGTTCAGCATATTTAGGGGATCAGTCCCATTTATACCTAGTATATAAGACAATTAAAAGCAATGTGTGTTTATAGGCTCTGAACTTTTCCTAATCTCACTAGTGAATTTTATACATGGCCAGAGTGATGGAGTTGTCACCCATGCATGTCGCTTCTGTCTTGTCAGACCTGTAGTATGATAGCCAGAAAGTCCCAACCTTTCTGGCTCCAGAAAGATATAATAATTTTGCCCAACTAGACAGCTATTTAGACATGCAGGGTGAATTTGATTTTATTACAAAATTATGTAGAAAGAATGTCTTAGTATTGCTATAGCCACAATACCATCATGATAGGTTTAATGTGTAAACAATCTGAGAAAGGTATTTACAAACAGCTCATAGGGGTTTGGAAGGGGGTTGCAAAATAACCCTCAAGAGACCTAGACAGAATTTGTAAAAGTAATTTGTGAGTTACAATTTGTGACAGAGATACAGAAGATCCATTTATGTTTTTTTTGTGTGTTTATAATGCCGTGGATGCCTACCCACCATGACTTCAGTTCTTAACCACAGTTACCTGTGTGTGTCTGCAGTTTACCTGTGGAGATAATAACCATTTTTGTATAAAAAAAAAACCAACACTGGTGACAGTTGATTTTTGCTGTCTATATAACTGGATGCTTCTGGGAAGCATTTTTGATATGCTTCATAGGTGGTTTTTTTTTTTTTTTTTTTTTTTTTTTTTTTTCCTGAAGGGAATTTACTAGTTACATCTGCAGTTTGAATGTTTCTTTCTAAAAGATGAACCAAGGCCAAGCAAGACAAAGAATCTGCTGATACATACATGTCACTCCAAGAATTCTCCTGACAAAGTTCCCACACCCAGTTTAATTACTTCCCTACTGTAAAAACACTTTCCATCTGCATTTATTGTAATAGTTTCAAATCCAAAACCAACACACTATAAAGCTAGCTAAATAAATGAATGATATTGGCCTTAGGTCCCAAGCCAGGAGCTATTCTGTAAGGCTGTGTGTCTCCAGCATTCATTTTTATGCTGATGTTTCATTTTATGTGCAATGTTTTCACTTAAGACTTGTTTAGAGAAGAATTACCTTGCACCAGGCTTTCAAGTGTTATGTGCTGTGCGGTGCCCCCTAGCGCTACTGCAGTCAAAGGCTGTCAGAGACTCCCTTGGAAGACCCAAGTCCCACCGCGGATCAAGATCTGACAAAAAATGTTTGCTGCAGGCTGTATACACAGCATTACACACACAGGTCAGGAATGTTAATTTCGACTGTTTCTGATATATCCTCAAACTGAGACCTCGGAGCTCCAAATTAAAAGTATTTTGTTTTTTTTTCTCATTAAAAACAAACAAACAAACAAACAAAAAAAACAACTACGTGATTTTCTTCTCCAAATTGACTATTTGTAACATGGTAACATGGTTTCCCCCTTACACTTGGTAGAAAAAAGGTTTTCTGTTCCTCACACCTGGTATGAAGAATTTAATTACAATTCTTAAGAAATTTCCCATTATGCAGAGATAATGACAGTATGCTATATCCTGGGTCCTCAAGCTTGTTGCAATTCATAGTCTGATGAAACAACATCCATGGATTCTTCATAATTTTAAATGTTAGAGATATAACAGTCTTCTTTAAAATTACATCCATGCACAAGTATTGTGATAAGTGGAGATTTGTGATGCCATCAAAGTTCTTGGATAGAGCTTGATCATTATAACAAAATTTAAACCAAAGCAGCAGGACAGCAGATACATTTTTCATTTATAAGTTATTAAATGAGAACCAAAGGACAAAATATGCTCCAGAGTATGCAAAACTACTACTGACTTCACTGGAAGCGTATCAGAACATTGAATTTTAGATTCCCTTATTCAGCTCTTACCAAACTAAATGAAAGGCAAGGATGAATAAGGATAAGTCCCTTATTCATAAGGGACTCGAGAAGCTAATCAAAGAAACTCAGACAGCGCACTGCATAGCTCAAGCCACAGATACTACATTGGGCTTTAACATTACATGTGGCCCCCAGCTCCCAGAGGATGCTGCTGCAACAGTGACACAAAGCTGAGGATGAGATTTGGCAAACCTTGAATTACTTAGCTTTTCTGAGTTTTAATCACAATGTTAGCATGATGTCAATTTTTGTGAAAATTAAATAGTTCTATAGAGAAGCAAGACAAAGATACTAAAAAAGCACTGCAAACCACCAAATCTTAAGAAAATCACCCACTGTGGCTCAACAGTTTACTGATTAACAGAAATACACAAACCTAAAACGATTGCTACTTCACCTGCTTGGAATTACATATGCTTGTACCTCCACGTGCAAAACATAGAAATTAAATGCATCTCCTGTTCCTCATGTACATGAAATTAGAAAAGACAGTGTCTGAAAAGTTTCATTTTAAAGAATACATGGCTTCTTCCTAACTTATAAACACAGTGCCATGCTTTTTGGAAGTGAAAAAAACAAAAAAAGTTTTGATAAATGTAAATTTTCACAAATTAAGACAGAACTGCTCCACACAGGAAATAAACTGTAATACTAGTAAACATCAGGTTTCTCCGAAAAGGGACAAAATAAGAAAAAATAAAAGAAATTTGATTACATAGATTTCTTTATGATATTTCTTAGGATTTTCTTGTAAATCGAGAATCATAATTCAGCATTATGGCACAATTATACTTATCAATTGTGATGCTAATCATCATCTCAAACTGAGGGAAAATCTTCTAGAGTGAAAAGCACTTAAAATTAACCTAGTCCTTCACTCTTTGCAAAGCAGGTCTCTCGCACACAGTGCTATGTATCTGCCGCTCAGCTCTGTATCTTGCTGCACCACCAAGCTGCAGGCAGTCAGCACTTGCTTTTCGTTACCGTACCTGGTGTTCGGAGGCTCTGACACATCTGATTCTGTACACGTTTTCTTTACCTGCAAAAGCAAAGGATTTCCACAGTTACTCTCACTTGAAACACAACTTCCTCGCTTACCGTTCACTGCACTTACATCGCTTAAAGTGGATGCAGCTCTGCTCACCATGATCTCTATAAAATACTTCCCGCATTTTACAGCAGCAGTATGCAGTACTAAACAGTGTGTTTCATTATTATCCCATGAACGGCTGCCAACTGCACTTCCCTAGGCTCCATTAGTATGTAAAATGTTCAGCTAAAATAGCTTGGGAGTAGCCTAACTGGGAACAAAGAAAGCAAAGAACCAGGTTCCCCACTTGGAAACCAGAAAGCCATACTGTTCTCAGCTCAGTAAAGAAATGTTTTCCCTATTGATACTGCTTCTGTTTCCTGCTAAAGCTCACAATAATAAACACTAGATTCTGGGGCAAAGTGCAGTGCTAGCTAAATAATTCATACACTAATTTTCATTTTGTGAATCTGCTAACTGTATGTTAAATGTATTTTCCTAATGCATCAATGAACTTAAAACACAACATACAGCATTTGCACACATATTTGCAATATATAATCACATAAACGGTAGTTTGACTTCCAATACATTGCTGTTAACCAATTAAGGGTGAAAAAAAAATTAATTACTTTCCAAGAAAAATATAAAACTGTTCTCTTACAGACCAACTATCTCTTTGGGATCTTCAGGATTTCCTGCAAAAAATTTAACCGTATCTTCTGGTAACCTAAACTTTTCATACCTTCAGCAGAGAAACAAGCATTCTGATCACTTGTGTGCTAATGCAGAATCCAGGGTTGTATAGGAGGTTTCAAAATTCCATTTTACAGCCATCTAGAAACACTCGTAGTCACTCAAATTCACTTCATGTGACTTGCACAATACAAAGGACATTCTGATTACAATTAGCATGTGCTCAATGACAGTTTTTGAGATTATCTTGCATCAAAAGATTTTCCTATAACTTCTTGCTACTTTAAAAGCATTTTTGAAAAAAAAAAAAAGAAAAAAAAAGAAAAAGAAAAAAAGATTGTAACCAACTCAATTCTGTTGAAGTCAAAACTACAAATATTCACCAGCTCCAAATGAAAAAGGATTAGGTTAATGCTAAGTACTTTCTTTGAAAACCTTGGCTGAATGCCATGCAATATCACTCAAAGATGTCTAAGTACAAGCATGGAGTTAAGGGTGGTCATTATTGTTCTTGAGTTCTAGATACTCAACAAACAACATAGTTACATGCTTGGTTATTCATAGAAATAAGTTTTCAGTAGCAATACTGAAAGTTTCCCCAAAGAAAAGAACTTAAAACTTAAAAGAACTTAAAGCTGTATTTATTGCTATACAGTGACACCCAAAACTTTAAAAAAGCAGAAAACACAAAGAATCTTCTAAATATTTTGTCTTGCTTGATTTTTGCTACAAAACCGTTTTCTGCCTATCCAATTATCAGTTTCATCACTGCTAATTTTCAGCCTCATGGATTTTTTCTTCAGCATTCATACTGTGCTACTCCATGGACTTTGCAGTTTCAGCATATTGTGGAAACGTGATGGAGCAGAGACTCAGCCTGAAGGACAATGAAAGCCTATGTAAGTCTATTCCATAAATATTTAGACACAAACATTATTGCTACATTTTTTTTTTTGTTCACTACATTATTATTAAAGTAATACTAGATTTGAAATATATTAAAAAAATTAAGGTATAAGCACGTGACTGAGTACCAAGTAAATGCCCACAATTTGTGCTAACGTTCAAACAAGAAAAATACCCACTCAGATTAGTGTACTGAGTGTCAACACTAGAGGCAATTGTTCAAAACAGTAATTCAAAATCATTCAAAGAAATTGATTTTGAAAGAGCCCTTCCTTAAGAGACAGGTGTGTACTTTCAGAAGCAGACTTTCTCCACAAGAAGTTATGGAGGGATTTGACCAGAAAATAATGTTTCAATTTTACATAGAAAATTAATATATAAATATATTTATAATATATAAATATATATAAATATATAAATATATATAATATATATAAATATATAAAAATATATAATATATTATAAATATATTTATAATATATAAATGCATCAAATTAATGTATGCAGTAAAACCCCCAGTTAAGCTTTTTCCTTGTCTCTAACATATATTACTTCTGGGCTATTTTTGCCATCTCTTTGCTGTTAGGTTTACAGGCATTTACCTTTGTCAGTTCCCACCAATAGCACTCTGTCATATTTGCACCAGGGCTCAGATCTCAATCCCCGGGTCAGGAGAGTTCAACCACGCACTTCAGCCAGTGCTTGCAGAGTCTGACAGTCACCCAGCACATCTTAACACCCTGATTGTGCTAAGTGATGGCAGGTCCTTTGGTGGGCAATTACTACAGAAGCCCAAAGATAATTCAAACATACACTAAAGCTATTTGAGCACTTCCGGCATACACAACACATTAAGAGCCCTGATACTCCTGGGCAGGGAAGAGAAGGACTTCTCCAAGTTATGCAAAAGTTGTGTAGTCACAGACAAGTTGTCCTACCCTTGCTCACACAACTACTGCCTCTTGTTTTGACCAACATTAAACAAATAAATTGAGATGACTGAAAGATTATGCACTACCTGCATGGTGAACATGGGCACTACCTGCATGGTGATCATATGAAAAAGAAAATAAATAAATAAATAAATAAATTAATATATATATGTATGTATATTGTTATATCTTAAAATTTAGAAAAGCCACAGTCCAATTGTATCAAAAAGACTCACCTCCTGTGAGGTGGAACAAACTCTAGGGAGAAACAAAAACAAAACAAACAAAAAAAGAGTACTAAATATTCAAGAATATTGCAATGAAACAAAATACTTGCAAAATAAGAATATTTCAAGTTTTCAGCTTGGTATATATGCAGTTTGTGATCATTGTCTGAGGAAGTGTGCAGTATGTGCACACTGTATATACTTGTCTTTTCCTTTGAGACTGAATGTAAACTTCATTATGCATCTTTAGGGTCTCTCTTTGAGAGAAAAGACTTAATAAATAAAAATGTTATTTCTTAAAGGAGGATCAGGCATGGGATTTTCTTTCAAGTGGCTGTATGGAATGAACACCATTTCACTTTAGGGCTACTCAAGTAGCAAAACATATTTTGTTATTCATAAAATTATGCCACCCTTGAAGGTGAACAGAAAATCACTGTGAAAACTTATGATCAAAGACTAAATATCATTTCCTTTGTCTTCAGCTGCAATGTTTTTCCTCTTAATCTGCTTTGCTGACTGTTTTCAAAATAATTAACTTTCACTAACACCACATTTATTTACATTCACATGTGTTAAATGTTATAAAAAGAACCTTTTTCTTTACTCCTACTCTGTTTTCCTTTTTCCCCCCTCTGTTTACACAGGTTTTCTCACCATTTCAGTTATATGCTTGTTGAGAATCATTCACTAGAGTGGTAAGATATCAGTTTCAGTTGTTTTTGAATTTTACAAAATAGTGTTGAAATCTCCTACCCTGTCTGCCTACTACAAAATGCTTGAAATGTTTCAGCTAAAAATACTTAAATCCAATTTTTTAAGAAAACATGCTATTGAGTTCATATTTTGAGTCATGTAACTATGCTGTTGAGTGGCTTTAGTGCCCATAAATTCTGAGGCAGAATCCCAGCACTGGAAGTGGGTGAGTATAAGGTGTACTGGTACCCAGGGATCATCATCTCTGTGAAAGGGTGTCCAAATTTTTTTAGGTTTATAACCTTCTAAGAGCTCTGTTTTCACACCATTAGTGGAGTCCTCTTGTAATCTGGTTCCTGAATTTTTGAAGACCCTATCTGTACTGAATGCTCTTGTTCTCAAAGAAGCTGGAGCCAAATAAGAATTATTAATTACTTCTCTTGACTGCCAGAAGCACCTGTGGCATCAGGAAGGGGACTATCCTTTACTTGGTCAGTTCAATGTCCCTCCATGAAAACACCTGGGCAATGTCAACAAATAGAAAAATCCTGTAGCCTCAAATGTGGGGAGGAGGAACAGGAGAAAAATCTTAACAGGGAGAGGGGACAGAAACCGTGATGCAAAAGAAGAAGGGGATCTACAAGTAGCAAAATCACAGACCAGAAGCCAGCTGAAAAAAAAAAAAGGCTAACATAGGGATTGGTGTGGATAGTGGAGGAGTACTGCGGCTTGTTGGGGCAGGACAGAACAGAACATGCTGCTGGAGTAAAAACCATAATGACAAGCCTGTGCAATCATGAAATAATGATGAAAGTCACTAGTAGAGGCTTTATTTACCAGTCTACACAGAATAACAGTATATTTCTGGTACACCATCTACACTGCACATCTAATTAATGATCCAAGCTGGGAAACTATACTTTGAACTTACAAGATGGTGCACAAATGTTACGTTTAACCAGAAAAATGATGGTATAATTTGCCTCAAATTGGTGACAACTTTAGTCAATGTTTTATACAATTTCTGCCTTAATTTCTGCCTTGGTTCTTCAGATTTCAAACATAAACACTCTTTTAAGTGTCTGATACTGTGAGGGCAGCATGAAAATGAGACGTATTTATTGAACAGCGAACTTTGGTTAATGTATGTTAGAAATATCTACAGGACAAAGAATGATTTTATAGTCATTCTGTAATTTAGGTGCTTCATGTTTAACAAATATAGACTGAGGAACATAAAAAGAAAAATCTAACTATGCATTCACTGAAAAAAGAGTAGATATCCCCTGGAAAGCCTAGTGTGTCATATAATAAGAGCCACACCATAATGCATAAGAGACTAGATTTCCACAGGCCATATTAATTCTGGCATTTCCTTGCTTCTGATGTTTTCATTTGCAACGTTAACATCCTTTTAACATGATTTTATTGGACCTCATTACACTAGATGTTAAACCATGAACTGGTCCTGCTCTGCGAGGTGTTCTCGCACACACACTCATAGTATTAAACTCATAATGCAACACAGGTGAGAAATCCCTTCTAGCACTTA